TAAGACATCCCTGAAAATAAGGCCCCCCCAAAGCTACCATAACTCTGGACTCTGGACTGTAGTGTTGGGTGCCGCTGCGCAGCTCACTGTTGGCTGCAGTGCAGCTGGAGCAGACAGGAAGTGCAGGGTCTCTTTTAATAAAACAATAAACAATAAATGTGTACCGTATTCTTCTTCTTGGAAAAACAAGACATCCCTTGAAAATAAGACCTAGTACATCTTTGGGAGCAAAAATTAATATAAGACACTGTCTTATTTTCGGGGAAACAGGGTATTGGGGTAGAGGACAGAGATGCTGCTCACCATCCTTTAATGCCCAGGACAGGCTCCAAAACAAAGAATTATCTGGCCCCAAATGACCGTCATGCTGAGGCTGAGAAATTCTGCTTGACACTCACAAACTTAGACTTAAATCCAAGGCAGTTGTGTGGTCCTAAATGAATAATGTAATCTTCACTGGCCACATCGGGCAAACGGGAGCTCACAATTCCTTGTGAACAGAGCATTGTTAGGAGTGTGACATAATAGAAAAGCTCTGTGTAAATCTTAAAGGCTCCCCCGAACACCACCTTACCGCACATTGCCTTATCTTAATCCTGGTGGTGAAATATTTCTAATTAGAAAGCAAACACCATATGTTAAACAGAGGTCTACAGAAAACCAGATAACTACATTGCTTGGTCAGTTTCAGGAGGTTCGCTTCCAGCAGGGCCAGCTGCTCGTTGATTTTTTCAGGCACCACTATCTGATGAGCCTTCTTTGCCTTTGAAATCTTCTTAGAAGGACCCTAGAAACGTTGGTTAAATGTTAATGTGTACTTCGGCAAATTTCTACCCTTGTCACTTTCAAAAGACATTTTTAAAATGGTGTTTTTATATCTTTATACTTGGTTGACAAAATCATGATCAAGAGAACTAAACAATACTGAATCATAATAATTCACATCACAGCAATGCATTTGCGCTACATGCCAGCAAACCGCAGTGCCTGGGAAAGCTACCGTGTTTCATGCTCTCTCCTCTGCCTTCCTCCCAGTCCCTTCCAACATGCACACTCTTCTCAAAGTAGCTGAAAATATACCACATTTGCTCGAGTCTAAGCTGACCCGAATATCAGCTGAGGCACCTAAGTGTACCACAAAAACTGCATAAGAAATGTGCTGAAAAACTCGGCTTATACATGAGTATATACGGTATCTCTAGAGATCTTAAAAGAAAATCCCAGGAGATGAGCACACAATGATATAATTTTTTGTTCTTTGATGCCTGATAACTGATCCTTTTGGCACCTCACGATTACACAGTCTGGTGTGCTTCTTCCATGTGGGCTTGGTTGCTTCTGAGCTAGATGGCTGCTTGTTTACTTACCTTCAAGCTTTTAACTGTGTGCTCAACTCCCTGATACGATCACTGAAGACAAATGGGTGCATAAGCAAATGTGGTGAAGAAAGCTAATGGTGCCTGGCTATCAAAAGATATAGCATCTG